TCTCTCCAACGTACGGCCTTCAACGGCCTACAACCCCAACTAACCAACACACTGACCCAAGTTCGTACCTGATCCAAGTCCGCACTTATGTCCCCGCGCGGCCAGCTTTTCGTAACCACCACTCCCACCCCCATCCGGCGTTGACGATTGACCGGTGACCATTGAACGGAAATCACAATTCCTGGGCGCATATATCTACCCATCTACCTACCCACTGACCCTTCCATCCGCCCATCCACCCATCCACCCACTTGCCCAGGCCCCGCCCCGGCTCCGACTCCGAGTCTGAGTTGGAGCTCAAGCTCAGGCCTCACTTCTGCGTCGTCAATTCGCCGTTCGATCTGAACTTTGGACTCGTACGCGCGCCCAGTGAAGTCAGGTGGAGAACATAAAAGAAGTTCAGCCCTGGAGCAGGAGCCGACGGACTGTCGACCTTCCGCCCCTTCCTGGCATTAATTCAAGTACAGGAGATCATCGAAGGACTTGAAGGCACGAACGTTGCGTCTCGATGACTGTATCTGCTACGAGCTTGTACGTGACCCAATCTATACTCTGTCCCCTCTTAGACGTTCTCGCTCATGAATTAACTTGACGCGGCTCATCGCCCCTTCCTTTAGAAATAAGAGAGGCCTCTTACGAGCTATGTCGCTCTCCTGAGAAACGACTCACCGATGGGAGTGTCGGCAAAGTTGAAAAGGATTACGGGTGGCGCGAGCTCCTCCGGCTGGTTTGTGAGCTTGGATGTCAGATGTGCCTTCGAACGGAAGAGGATTTTGTGCACTGCCGGGTGAGGGAGTTGGGGGGTCTGGGAAACTTTGGGCAGAGGGTTGGTGTCACCTTCCTTGCACTCCTCGCAACTTGACGTCCACACCAGGCTTCTGATGACTACTACACAGGCCCGCTCCCACGTCTTCTCCACACACGATATTGAGACCGCCACAGCGAAGCTCTCCGGCCTGAGCGGCTCCGCCGGTTTGAACGGAGCACAGCTACTAAGACGAAACGCGCATAGTGGTGGGGCAAGAGAATATTCACGGAATGATCGATAACCCGGATAAGAAGCAAAAGGCCTTCGACAACGGCGGGTCTCTCCGGAGTGCAATCACCTTCTTGCCTCGTGGCCGAAATGTCCTGCACCAGTACGGCGGTCTGGGGACTAACAACACGAACCACGAACTATGACGCCGCCACCAGAGACTGGAGTAGTGAGAAGTAATGTGTTGACAGGTAGTTGGAGGCGGGGTCAAGAGGTTCCGTGGCTGGAGTGTTGGAAGACTTCGGAGGGGAAGGTCAGGGCTGGAGGGTGTGGGTGTATAGTCCAACGCGGCACCGTATCGTATGCGCGGAGGAGTATCCCATCGACCGTCTTCATCACTGAGGTGCGTAGCCCCGATTCTAGAGTATCTCGAACGCATATACGCGAGTTCTAGTTCTAACGCTGACTTGTTTACTTTTTTAGGGCCTCCTTACGCGCCAGTTTAGTCCTTGTCCTACAAAGAACGCAGTACGGCTGCAATTTGAACTATCCGACCCTCTTCCTCCTCTTCCTAGTCTTGGTCCCTAGGGCCAACGCCCGTACCTGAGTCAATTCCGCACCCGATCCAACCAACGCACCTGAGCCTGCACAAACCCGGCTTGGAAGACACCTGCCCCGGGTCTAAACTCCTCTGCTTCGCGTGTGTTGGCGATTTATCATTCCATTTAGACCCCGGACTCGTACACGCGCCTACTCAAGTCAGGTGGGTGTAGACTCTAAAGTAAAACTTCAGCACAGGAGCAGGCAAATCATCGAGCACCGCCCGCCCGCGCCCCTTCCTCGCCAGCAACCCGCAGAAAATCGTGGAAGGATTTATAGATGTCTTGAAGGTCGTACTCGCGCGGTGCTAAGTACTCTGTTGATACCGCGACACAAACACCTCTCGTCCCGGGTCTCGTCTCAACGACGACTTGGACCTCGACGGTTGCTCCAAACCCGTAGCTTGTACGTATTCAATCGGTATACATACCCTTCTGTTCTTGCTCGCTCACGAATTTAATTTGGCAATTTGAATTAGAAAGGACGCCGCCTCGATGGTACTTGGCCGAGCGTCGCTAGAGTGGTGCCGACTTTCGAATGAGTCGTGGTCTTGGGTGTATGTTTGACGAACAGTGGGGCTGACTTGCTCTCTCGAATATCTTGTCCCTTTTGTCAGGATCGGGAAATTCAATGTTCAACCGTTCAAATTGGTCGTTTCATCTTCGTCTTTGCGGTCATGGAAGGGATATACGTTATCCTTAGGTATGCGGACTGAGGAGATATGATGTTGAACTTTCGGCTACATTTTTATTATTTAACCGTCGAACGAGCCGGACGAGCCGGACTTCGGTACTGGCACTACTTTTTTTCTTCTATACTCTAGGTGGGCATTTGACTGTCATTTCTGAAATTATCCTGACCTATCATAGAGTATGCAAGACAAGACCGCCGTTGTCGTACGCGTGGTTACGTCGGCGTGAGGTTTTCATTAGAGCTCTCGCCGATGAGTCTCCGCACTGGGGTCCATCGCTGACTGACCATGGGGTGCAGACTGTAATGAGAGCACGTTCTATTTCTCTTGGAATCGCCATTATCGGTGTCTAATCTCGCGAGGCAAGATTCAGCCAAGACTCCTAGAGTAGGAAATCTTATCTTATCCGAACCTCCGCTTTGTTCGGAATCTGGTGGCATCAAAATCCGATTCAGGTGATGGCAATCATCCGACCAACGTTGGACACGAACCCGCAGGATGTCAACGCACCAAGGTATGAGTTTCGGTCTCATAAGAGCACGCTGAGACCAACACTTTTCCCTAGATGTTTTCTCTGCACATCGGACTCCAGAGATACTCCATCTGACATGCCCAACCAGCGCCGAGGCGCACCCGATCGCCTCGATGCTTGAAGTCAACGCAATCCATGACCCCTTCACTGCCTGCCTTCCGACAGAAATCGCCTCACGGATTCTCACGTTCTGCGCGGATGACGAACAAGAAATTGGAAGGCGCATCCCCCTGGCTCTTTCCGCCGTTTCAAGGAAGTGGCGAGATATCGCGCAATCCACCCCTGCATTATGGACCTCGATTCGCCTCGAATTCAACTCGGCTCCGATTCAGTCCTCGTATGAGGAGACGCTCCGTCATTGGCTCTTGCTCTCCTCTCAGCGACCACTCTCCATCCATTTCAGCATCGACGAAGACTTTGATAGGGAAAATCCCCTCGAGATACAGGCTTACCGCGCAATTATCGATATCCTCAATGTACACTCTTATCGCTGGGAAAAACTCTTCCTGCAGATTCCCCTCCATCTGCTCAATCTCTTTTGCAGCCAGATTCGCGGCACCCCCGCTCTACGCTGGCTTTCTATAAACTCGCACCCTTCTATAGACTCTCACCCCGACGACGTCGACGACGCTCAGATTGCGAAGTTTAATCTCGGAGGCCCTCTTCCCACCCCTCGAACGGTCTCGATTTATGCGTGCAGATTACGCAGGATTCGGATCGATTGGACGAAGGTCACTCATGTGCAGATGTTCGTCGCTTACATTAGTGAATGTCTCACACTGTTTGCAACAGCGCCTCGACTCCGTGAATGCAAACTCATAAACGTCCGACACGACGACAGCGCGTATCCCAGCACACCCATCGTCCATCACCACCTCCTCAAATTGGAGATAGCGATGGCCTGGCTCAACTCGACGACACCCTTGTTCGACCATCTTTGTTTCCCATCCTTGGAATCCCTACGGTACAGTTGCGATAGCCAGCCATTGGACCCTCTCCACTCGTTCCTCATTCGATCCTCCGCTCCTCTCAAGTTCCTGCGCATCAATGAAGATGACTTCTTCCACTACGGAAACAAGCTCACCGACCTCTTATGGACGATACCGAGTTTAGAGGAATTCGAATTATACGGTGCCCGCCGTTACGAGAAGTTCTGGGAACTCTTAGCGACCTATTCAGAGGGCAGTCTCACAGAGCAATTCTTGCCGATGTTAACGAGTCTTTCCCTGGATTCCATAAGCAACGACGACGGGGAATACAATATTCTGGAAATCTGCGAAGCCCTCAAGGTGCGGGCGTCCCGCGATCGCGCAAATCGTGAACTCGGTGTCCTCAAGCGGTTGAACTGGGACGTGAACATACTGGACCACCATCATGAGTATTACCTCGAGGAAGAGACTCTCCAGTTTTTCGAACGGCTCATCGCAGATGGTCTTGATTTCAAGATCACTAACTTGCAGTTTGACGGTAGGGAGCATACTACGACGAGATGACAGATCAATCGGTGAGCACTTTGCAACCTCGGCAGGCCTTGCGATGCTGTCCACGTATTTCGTCTTCACGCTTGATAGCTACTTGTGGTAAATAAATAATATTCAGTAAGTCTGTAGACCATGTAGCCAAAATGTTCTGCGACTCGTTCAGAGTTGAAGGGTAGATACGAGACTGCCTGCCACTATCGCTATTGAACAATGCGCATTGGAAGATCAGCGAAGACTTGAACTACAAGGTGCACTAGTAAACAGGTTCTTTCCTATTACTCTCAAATATTTCAAATTAGAAGAGTGATGATTATTGATACTTAATGCTAAAGAAGGTCCGAACTAGGAGAAAACGAAGGATACAACCAAAGAAAGTGTTCTATCGACAGATTCGTCCGTGTTGGCAGGCCGCACCAGTCCATTGGAACAAGAACGCAAAGCTTCTATATTATGTGCTCTGGCTAGAGGCGGAGATCCGGCGTCCAGTTAACCTGCACGAGAGGTTAGTTTGAGAGCCCCGTTCAACACCGAGAAATCCACAATGCGACTCACATAAGATGCATTAATCGCCTTCAAATCAGGCAGCCCCAAATTCCCCGCGTCAACCGCAATCTCGCGCTTCAGCATCTGGATCGCATACGTGACGCCCTCCGTACCATAGACGTTAGCATACATAAACGGCCGGCCCAATCCTACAGCCCGCACGCCCAGGGCGAGAAGCCTGAGGACGTCAGTCCCATAACGCACCCCTCCGTCGGCGTACACCTCGATCTGTGTGAAGACCTCTGGGGACTTCTCGTGTATCTCGAGGGCGACCTCGAGCGGGGAGGGAGCACCGTCGAGCTGGCGGCCACCGTGGTTGGAGAGGATGATGGCGGGTACACCAGCGGCGACGGCTGCGCGTGCGTCTTCGACGGACATGATGCCCTTGAGGACGATGGGGAGCGAAGTCATAGTTTGGAGCTGCTTGTAGGTGTCCCACTGTATACGTAGAGCCTGGAATCAGCGTTTGACGTGGCAGAAGAAAGGAGCGTAGGCGTACCGTGGCGAGATCATAGGAGGAATAATCACTGAGCGCAATGTCAGAATTAACACACAGGGCAACGTGGATAGCTGCGAAGGACTTACCCCTGATCGAAGCCGAAACGGCCAGAACGTTGTCTGTTTCGGGGTGAAACGGCGTCGACGGTGAATACGATAGCCTTTGCACCAGAGCTCTCGATGCGCTGGAAGAGGGCTTGCGTGTCATTATCGATTGAGGCTTTGTTTATCTGGGCGTTCCGTCAGTCCGAGCTCGATGGAATTAAGACCGTTGCAGTTTTGACGTACCTGTTGGAATAGAACTTGGCCTTCCCCTTTGGCTGCGGATATATCTTCGATGGAAAGGTTGGCAAAGAGCGAAGGCTGCAAATACATTGAAAGGTGAGTACATTGTCGAGGAGGAATTCGGTGGAACGTACCATGTAGAGGATGTTTTCAGCAGCAGCACCCCTCACCAACCCGAGCTCGGACTCGGGGTGAGCGAGTCCAGCACGCGCACACGGGCTTATGAAAATCGGCGCGGAGAAATTGTGGCCCAGAAGCGTGATCCTTCATTCGTTCCACTCAATCAGCTCGGGAGTTCTCAACGACGCAGAAGGAGATCACGGAGGGAACTTACGGCAGCGTCGACGCGACGTTCGTCACGTCCTGCATCACCCTCGGCCTGAACCGGTACCGATGGAAAATCTCCAGGTTGTTCCTGTATGAATACTCTCCGCTCGCTCCGTTGCGGAAGTGCATGTAGGAGAACGGATGGAGGACCCGTTTGGCCGCCCACTCGAAGTCGGGGAGGCCGGCGATCAGGGAGAGCTCCGGGAGAGTGCCTGCGGGAAGGGAGCCGAAGACTTCCTCGATACCAGTATCGGGTTCGTTCAGGAAGGGGCGGGCGGCAAGGGCGACGGAAAGAAAACTGAGGAAGACGGTGGAGAAGCGCATTTCTGCAGAAAGTTTAGTAGGAAGAAAAGTAGGATAGATATGGAGGAAATGCACGTAGCGCCGGTCACTTTATATATGTCCCGCGCATCGCCCCATTTTGTCAGGTACACATGGCCTGTAACTGCCTTGGAGTTCCGGGAATGACGCACGGCGGCGCATTTACGATGTTAGGGAGAGTAAAATCACCCCGATTCTCGTGATACACGTAGCCTTGACGCGCAGCCCGAAACCATGTGCACGTTGCACAGCGATCAGGAGTATGGTCGACGACGCAGAGGCTGAGCACGACTAGAGGCCGCAGCATGAACGAATTTGAAAACGCAGAGCAGGCATCTGCTTATGGTACTGCTCTGACTCACGGAACGGCCGTTGTGGAAGAAGACAAGAGAGGTAGTGATGAGGTTCCTCGACTAGACGACGTCGAGTATACGATTAGCCCGATTAGGAACAGTCTCCCGCAAGGGCTTGGCATGATTAGAGTTCCATAGTGACACGGTGGTAAAAGCAACGTTCGCATATTCAGCGCTGTACTGCATATCAATGCAAGCTCGTACGCTTGCAAAGAGAGTAGACTCTCCTTGGAAACACGAACGACGTCGGCGCCTATATAGATGCGACTAAGGCGCTCGTCCACAATCACTTCGAACGATCGCACGTGGGAGGACACTGGATGGAACTGTGCACTGTCTGGGTGCTATTTCGTCGCCAAAAACGATTTCAAAGACAGACAGCTCTTCTTTGGGCCAGAGGCGGACGAAGCTTTCTTTAATTTCGGCAAGGCTGAAGAGCCATCGGAGAGAAGGGTGGAAACGAAGCCAGAAGCACAGTACGGGAGTAATGACACGACGCGGTCTTCATCGAATCAACGGTTAGGAGGTAAAGTGGTGTATATGTGCGCTTAGTGATGCTAGAACCAGGAGGAGCGATCCCCAGATTGGGGCGAGAAAGGAGGATACGATAAAAGACCAAACCGAACAATCGCCAAACACCATGCGAATAACGAGTCTGAAGCAATGAATTTACCACTTAGCTGCTTATATGTTGCATATGTCGGAATGGCAGAGCCGGGGGAAGCCAGAGAAGACCATATCCTTCTAGGCTACTACACGATCTTCGAGTATCCGTTCGTAAGTAATAGCGGCATTTTCGGGGGTCGTTTCACAATCAATGGGGCGCCAGGTGCTACGGAGAAACGGGTAGAGAGGGAGAGGGAGAGCAGAAGAAGAGAGAGCCTCCCATCGCCTCTACAGGGTTCGGGGGTGGGGGGAGGTGAAAAGAGCGGTTCGCGATTATCCAAATCGACCCGGAGCTGCATTTGAAACTGGACCGTAGTCTCCGGTCTTTCTAGGAGTGGAACCATGGAAGCCCGATTAACTGGACCTTTTCAGCAGAAATGCAAGTCGCGCGATCAGTCCGAGAGTCGTGGTCGACTCTGAAGTAAAATTCCTGTTCGAGTTTTTCGGTGGTCGAGATGTTGTGAAAATACAAGTAGTCAGAGGTCATGTATTTCGCAGATGAGGACACTCAGGCCTTATCGTATGAGAACCGAAGATAGAAGGACGATCAGCTAGGCCACGAGTACGCCGAGAATACCTCACTGGACGAAGAGGGCGCGTAACGCCACTGCGACGAGTTCCAAGGATCCGGATCCATAGCTCCGAGTTGGATTTGCTTCGTAAGACTGCATGCCCACAGGTTCAAGAGTAAAAGGTGGAACCGGCGCAGCGCTAGTTCGGAAAAAATATAACAGGAAAGAAGGAGGAACGGACTTGTTCTCATCCGGCTCATCATGATCTATGACTTTGCGAATTCGAGCCGGCGCACGTCTCTTTGCTCTCGCGACGATACGTGCCGGCGCATAGGGCTATGGCGGGCGTTGAAGGTCTTCGTCGAGGGTGAGGAGAATCGATGTGGTAAGGGAGACAGTCCTCCAGTACCAAAGACACATAGAGGATAGAACGACGCAGGGAATCGTACGAGCCTCGTGTGTTTGTCAACAAGCGGCAAAATATCGAGACGCAAAGGGCGATCTCCTGATACAGCCGGTAGAGAGAACACCTAACTAGTCGGGTCCCGTGGCTGGCGTGATAGCAGCGACATCCCACCAACCGATGTTGATGAGAGGCCACCCCTTTCCAAAAGCCCACACCCGGCAGAAACGGAAGGGCACAGCATATCTCCCGTATTACGCAATAACTTGTGCACCGTCCACTTTGAACCAGACGGGAAGCCCTACAAAGCCATGGAATGAAGTCTCTCTGAAGGACTACTCAGGGACACAGCAATGAGGCTTAGCGATCCCAAATCCGGCAGAAGCGGTGGACGGGGGTTGTCGTGAGCGCGATCGTGGGTGGAGTGGCAGAGCCGAGAGGAGGGAAGCGGATGTGTGGTGAATCGATGGAGGGATGATCTGACAGAGGTCGGCGGACAAGAAGGAATGTGGAGGAGTGGAGAACGGACAAACGAGAGCGTCGGCTCATTCCGACTTCTTATCTGATTTAGGAGATAAGATTAGATCGCCTTCCTCCTGATCTAAAATTAGCCACTTTACGATGGGAGCGTTGTTCACCTTGTGGGTTCGGAATGCCCAAAGGGTACGTGAAGTGCGATAGGCCTAAAATTCTGGTTGTTGGTCCCCAGGCGTTGAGCCGTCTCACTCGCCTTGTACTTACATATGCCAAATTCCAATAGACAACGATGGGGAACAATAATACAGTTTTCCGTTGTTCTATTCTTCTTTGGCCACCAGGCTGCTATTGTGTTGCGGTTGTCCTTTATTTGGGAATGTGGGTGGCACAGAAACGCCGCTCAATGGTATATAAGTAAGCCCAGACGGGATGTCGATGTCCATTTTGCTTGTTATTCCCTCATCTTCGCTACTTCTACCATCCATATCGCAGGCGCACATCACCAGTTCGTATACCATCGAGATGGGATCCTCACACTCGACCCAGGCAGTCCTTTCCGAACGGGTATCGTCCACGGTCACGGAAACGCCTCAGATAACAGCAAAGGACGTCCAAACGAGCACATCTAGCACGCAGAGCGGCTTGGAGACAAGTTGCACCGGGACCTCTGGCGAGCCACAGTCCAAGGAGCCCATGGGCTCACCGAAGCAACCCAGTGATAAATATAAAGTCCACTTTCCTCGCTGGGAAGGCGCTGTACGAGACTCCGAGCCTGTGGCGTCGAATACGAGTGTTGTAACTCCAAACCCGAGCGTGGATGGTAAAAGTGACCGCCGAGCAGCTACTCCAGGAGAGGGAGGTTTAGAAACCGCGTGTGAGCCTCGATCTCAATCGTCCACTGGTTCTAGAAACACAGCGGAAAGCGGGCACAAAGAGGGAGATGAACGCATGGCGAACCCAAGCTCAGAGATCGGCGGAATAGTAGACAAAGGGGCACCCGGGCTCGACAGGACGGGGAACGTCGACCGTGAAGACCATGAGGAACACGAAGCGGAAGAAGCGGACGGCTCTGACGACAGCGGTGAGGATACGGACGATTCTGACTTTCCGGTGTGGACGGGACCGCGGCCGTGCTGCCACTCGCACTGCGTGCCGCGACAGAAGTAGAGTATAAGTGATTTGGTGGACTGGGAAGGGGGATAAGTACGTGGAAGAGGGTTCGGAGGGAATGGTGCAAGCGAGGGGCTGAAAGGAGAGGTATGTTCGAGAAGGGTGCTGCTCGAGAGTCCCAGATGTCGTTTCATCCGCTGAAGGAGATTGGTTAATTAGTAAAATCCTCGAAGACAATCGGATTTGTGCACTGAGTCACGGTGTTCCTCTATGTATTATGGATCTCTTGTGTCCAACAGAAAGGCCAGATTTCAGAGCGTCGAGGAAGGGAAATCGCGGCGAGGAAGTTCTAACAGTCGCCTTCGGTAGTCCCATTTGGGTCATGCTGGGACGACTTGAGTGTCGAAGCCTCTTCTTTCCCATTCTTCAAGTGTTTCACGTAAATGCTCGAATCATAATTTCGACGACGGACGAGACGAAGTTCTTGTGTTTCTGGCACCGTATCTTGGTAAATCAGACCTTCTCGTCGATGGGTTACATCTCGTTCCATAAATAAACCTTCGAAATTATAAACATCAGAGCTAATAAGAACATTAACATTAACGAGGAACACTAGACGGAATTCGAGTGTACCGGCCTCGTACGCCGTCTTGCATCTTGTGATAATATTTGGGTCAACGGACTAACAATGATAATATGTCGTCTTCGGCCTGCCGAATGACTCGTGTTGTACGGTGCCGTTACTGTGCTGTTGTAAGCAAGCACCCGGCTCGTTCGCTATGCTGCGCTCGAGTCAAGCCTCTTGGCTTCTATGTGGCTGTGCACATCGTTTGGACGCAGCGCGTTATAGCGTTGAGTTATCAATCTTGCACGTCCCCATCAAATCGGTCGGCAAGCTCTGATGCTCCCAAATATCGTAAATGCGCCGCCGTGCGAAATGCCGAGCAAAGTCGGGCCAGGTATCTATATCAGCGTTGAACGTTGGCGGCGGAACGTTAAGGCTTGAGAGCCACTTGCTTACGCGCCGGATGGGTTCAAAATTCGAATTCGAGAGGAGCTGGTGGGCCGATAGAAACATCGTTTGATGTGCTGCTCGCCGACAAGCCCGGAGTTCTAAAAATAAGCACACCTTCCACCGGCCCGATCGTCCGTGTCTTCGTTTGGCAAAGTCGAACCAGCGGTGACGTAACGGCGTTCGTCTCTGCTCTTCTCCTCTTCCTCTTCCTCTTCCTCCAGTCTCACTCTATGCATGCGCACGACCCTCGCTCCTAGCACGCCCTCCCAGTGCATCTACCACTCCGACTCGCCTCCGTACGCGTGTCCTGAGTCAGAGGCCTTGCTCGTGCGTGAGCTCTCGTTTGGCAAGGCAGCAGACTCCGAAAGCAATAACGGATAATGGCGGACATCTCTCGAACGCAACATTTTGTTCCTGTTCTCTCTGAGACGACGGATTATCGGAAGTTCGCCGACTAACATGGGCGGAATAAGGCAGAAGTTCAACGGAAGGATGGTGCGTATACACCCCGCCTGTGGATACTCTGTCGTCTAGCTTACTCATCCCTTCTTCATCCAGGCCTGTTCTCCCGTCTTCTTCCTCTCTCCTCCCCTCATCTCTCTGCGCACCATAGCCTTCTCCCGTCTAGCCCACTCCGCCGTCCCCGCCTCGCAAACACACCGACTACGAACTCCGTCACCTTCGTCGTACACGATCCTGCAGGACTGCCGTCAACCACTTGCCCAGGCCCCCATCGTGAACTTGAACCTGAACGGCACGTTCGAATCTGTCTGCACCTCTCTCCAATACCTTTCTTGGAAGATGGAAGACGACCCCCCGACTCGCTCGATGGTTAAGGACTTGAGGACCAGAGTTTCTATCAACTTGTTCGTTGGCGCTGGGAGCCGGTAACAGCCTCTACGGCGTAGCGAGAATGCGCAGATTAGCTGCGGAGCATGGGGATGCCTTAAGCTTGGAGGGGATGAACGGTTTCGCCCGCCCGGGGTTTGGGATGCAGAAAACGCTGTGCGAGTACGACAAGCATCCCGACCGTACCAACTCCCAATTGCAAGTGCGTACGTCATGATTCCGCTCATTGGTGTGACGCTAATCCAATTTCCTCCCCCCTTAGTCCCCTTGGTCTCCTCAGACTCCATACGCCTCCCTGACCGTCCTCGAGGCTCGCCTTCCGTCCCCGTTTCCCGTTCCGCCCCAACTTCCCGCTTCACCCTACCCCGAATGAGCCTGCCATCACCGCCAACGCCGTCCCCACTCTATCTCGGATGACGCGCTACTCGGACTACGAAGCACAAAGCTGCGTCGCGCTCTCAGGCTCCAAGCTTCTTTGTGCGGTTCGCGTACAACCATCTGAACGGTGCTCCTAGGATACTTGGGTCGCTGGGCGATGAGTACTTGGATGTGCGCGCAATGCCAATATGGACTACTTAGGGTCGCGCGTCGGCTGGGTGCCGAAGTTGCAGATGCAGTGAGGATGTGAAGTTAACGTTTAACCGTTCCGACGCGCATACATCCACCCAGAGGGTTCGGATTTCCGCGTTCGTCGGGTTGGCGTTCGGGCTGGGCTGGGCTGGTTCAGATGGACGGGGGGATGGATGGGCGCGTTTATGCCCAGTGTTCGTCTCAACGGCGGGCAGATGGATGGGTTACAGTCGAGTTTGTTGAACTTGAACAACGTTCAGAGGCCTATGTGTTGGACGAGGCTCACCTACGTCCCTCATGTTCAGCGAACCATTCGAGGATTCTCGTCCTCTAGGACGGCATATACTCCGTCTCCAATCTCGCCCTACGATTTGAATGCCTGGCGATCGTCATATCCTAGCACCCATTCCCCTTCGCTGGCGACGGCCGCTTCCACACGTGCTCGGACTTAGTATCTCCACCCTCCCCTCCTGCTTTTGCCCCTCTCTCTCGCGGACTCAGAGAAGGGATTTAGTGTCTCGGGGACGCGTTCAGCTATCGATTACAGAGCTAAACTCTGGCGCTACTCCATGTAGGCAAGCATTTCACATTTATCTGAAAACATAGTGTATAGACGTTGTTTTAACCTCGCTTGCAGATCCGGCTGGTTCCGTTTACGCTACTCAAGGTGTGCATGGGCGCACCACGAAAAAAATAAAATGCAATGAGGTCCGCTGTGTTAAACGTAGCCTTAGGTACGTAGTCTTCGACATTTTATATTTTCGAGTAATTTAGGTGGGCGTTGCAGGAATGAAACGACTTCGAGAGATAGTGCGAGAGCGGTTGCGAATTGCGATGCAATGGTACTCTGGACCGCATTTTCTCCGGCACAGACCGAACAGTCGGTGATGTAATTGCAATGGCGCTCGTCGCTTCCTTTCTCCAGCTAAACGCGTGTCTGACTCTCTTCTTCTGGTACCAGAGTCTTTCAACTCAAGCAACGGAGTTTGAGATGGCTCATCAGTATGAGCTTTCTGTCTGCTTGCAAACGCAACGCCAACACCTACGGACACGACGAACAAGACGATCCTGAAGTCCTCTAGGCTGACTGGTGCTGCTCTCGGCTAGGTCTTCTCGAGAAACGCATCTGATGACCTGTGCTGTCTTCCTACCCTCGCCCTCAGAGTTTTATTTCGCATATCGGCATGTCCTTGTCGATCACAAAAATGAATTATTCCACCCTGGCCCGCACTGCGAACGACAATGGCCGCCATAATGCTTCTCTAGGGAACGAAAGAATGGCCAACGCCGGTCAATGCACAACGTTCAGTCACTTGCAGCCGACCCTAAAATCGAACGCGAGCCTTTGGGGACATCGGCGTCCCCGCGTCCTGGAATGGCTAGCGAAACCAACGCCTGTGCGGTCCTCGCGGTCATATAGTCAGACAGAAGGTTGCCAATGAAAGGACTTTGGAGCGGCTAGGCGTGTAAGTCTCCATTATGCCTAGAATGGGGACACTTATCCATATAAAGTCTTTCGCCTTCCTCCGTCGGCCTGTTTTCATTTTCATGTAGTTTATCCAATTTCTTTCAGCCCTGTCATGGAGCATCGAGTCTGGTACCACAAAATGATGTACCCTGTCGCGGCTGCGTGGCAAGCCTTCGAAGAACAAGAACAAGAAGCGCAATGTCACACCCGAGTCTGAGTCTGGAAGGCGGATACGCGCCCACCCTCCTACTCCTCGATCTCATTACACTACTCTAGGGTGAATCCTTCGCCCTTCTCCCTCCGGTGCCGGTCTGACGCTCTGATACGTGGCAGATATAGCCGTCTGTATGCTTGAGCAACCCCTGCTCAGCTTCTCGACTCTCGAGCCTCCGATTCGAGGCTAAGTGTTTAGACGCTGCTCAAGTTCGCTTTGAACGCATAATGGCTGCTTTTATCGGTGTTCCCGTCCGTCCGCCTTAGACTGGGTTATCTGGTGACTACGACCTCGGCGCTCGTTATTCTGTGCTTGTGCCCATGGGTATTAAGGTCGATCGATGCGTGCGGGTCAGGTTATAGGTCAGAATAGGGAAGGGTGAATCGCGTTAGGGTCTTTTGGGGGGATGGACCCCCAGTCCATACGTACATCCAAGTGCGTCGTCTATTCTCGTCCAAACATAGCCTTGCACTTACCTGCGATTGTTTGGACGTTAGGTTCCATGAGGCGTGGTATCGACTGGAGTCTGAAACTCCATTGGAAGGGAAGGGAACACAGAGTTGCTCCACGTACGGAACACACAACCACCCTCGCTCGAAAGTCGAGACACTTCGTTTCGTTTTGAGCACACATTCGTCGAGGCGGCGGGTGAATATTTCGAAACACCTCTCAGATCGAGCATTCAGAATCACCCCCAGGTCTAACTAAGAGCCATAGGCACCTACATATCCAATAACTTCTTGTCGTCGACGAAGAGTGTTGTATCATTCGACGGCTTACTGGTGCCTTTCTCGGTCTTCGGTGTCTGTCCGTCGCTCTTGGCGAATTGCTTTTGAAGATGTTGGGCCTAACATGGTGCTCGAGAAACTCCTACGACCACTGCATATTCTAGAGACATCGAAACTCGAGACTCAAGAGGCCATCTGCGACAGCGCTAGGATACGGTAGCGTCTTCGGATTGAAGACGGATTTAGCGGTGGGGTTGTCGAAAAAATGGGTGGGCGGGTGATATTTATCAAGTAAACTAGCTCGAACGTGTATTTCGCGCATACGACTATCGACTTGTCTTAATTCCGTATCTAAGGATTACGTCCATCGGCGCACGTGGCCGACTTAGTCTCATCTAATGTTTAATACGTTACTTGCTTCCTCCCACCACCTTCTTCAACGGTAGTTGACGACACCGTTCGTCTACGTCTTTTCTTCGCTTTCACGCCTTCAGGTACTGCCATGAACAAGGCCTTTCATCTCAAACGCAGAGTTGTTTCTCCCCATCCCCAACCCGAGCTTCAGCTGGCGACTACACTCACGGATTCACCCCCTCATCTACCGCAGGAAATCCTGGACCTTATTGTCGACGAGCTGGGCTTGGAAGCCAAGAGACACGAGCCTGTCTCCCGCTCTACGCTAACATCCTGTTCCCTTGTTTCCAAATCGATGAGCATACGTGCGCGTGGGCACCTCTTTTCAACCATCTCTCTCTGGTGGAGGCCGTACACTTCCACCCCTGAAACCCGTCGCACCCGTATCCGTGCCCTCAAACGCATTATGGAGGCTGACCCCCTATTCGTTTCCTTCGTCCATACTTTTGAGCTTGCTCTTCGCGATGCTCTGTGGGGTACGGACGACACCGAAGGACTTCCGGGCGTGCTTACGATGCTCTACAGCTCACCGCGGTCGGGTCTGCGTGTCCTACGCATAATAACGCCATACGCCCCGTTAATGCCACACCGTGGATGGTCGGACATCGAAGGAGCAGGGAGGAAGGCGCTCGTCAATCTGTTCCTCTCAGGGTGCTTAACTGAGCTCGTCGTACATGGGCCTATGAAGGACGCGGCTCTCTTTCTCGCCAAGATCCCGAAAGGCTTGTTGAGTATGGAGCTGTGTAAAGTGTCGTATCCGCCTACAACGCCTGAGCCGGTGGTGGGATTGGATGTCGGAGATGGAGAAGGTGCGAGGCTGGAGAAGCTGGTGGTGGACGAAGCGTCCGCTTATACTTTGTTCGTCGGGTCTGCGCCGAGAACGCGGATCCTCTCTATGATGCAAGGGCTGAAGACGCTTGAATTGGAGGGGGCGAGCATGTCAAAGGACGCGAGGGACTTCATCGTTGTGCTAGAGCAGTGTAAAAGATCTTTGGAGAGGCTTGTCTGGTAAGCTATTTGCGCAGAGATAGCGTGTACCTGCTGCAGCGGAGGACTGACTCGTTTTTGCCTTGCAGGTCAATCGAACCCTTCCGAGATCAAATTAACGCCCTAATCTCCCGCATTTCCCTATCATCCTTCACCGCCCTCCGATTCCTCACGTTTAAAATATGGACCAAGGCTGGACTCGTTCCGGATACCAACACGCGTCGTATCTTCTCGGTCATCCAAGAGAGCGCTATGCTTTCTCTCGAGCACATAACGTTCGCCATTCGAGTTGGCTCTACCAGATTCAGACAGGGTATCATAGACGATCTGACCGACCCTGTCACGGGCTGGGGCTGGGAGATGCTAGACGTAGCCCTGGCGAGTGCGGTGCAGTATCCTTGGTTGGCGCTGGTGGAAATCGGACTCGGCAAGGTTGGTCTAAGCCTTGGCATTCGGTTCGGGACTGGGGAGGTTTATGTGAAGGAAGAGGCAAGAGCGCGGCTTGAGTCGCTCTTTCCTTCTTTTCTTGGGCGTGGGGGGAAATTGAAGACATCGTTTGAGGGGGTTTACTTTTATAGCAGGCATTCTTAGTTTCCGAAGTAAGTCATACAAACCCTTTCTTTCAATGATTCCCTCCGAATTGATAAGTAGTATGAACCCAACAGTTTACTGAACCATGGTCGGATTTTCGAGTCTATACATTCTTCATCTTGACCCAATCGACTCTAGATGGCGCTGAAATACTTCCGCGGCACTTGTCGCCCGATGGTTGGAGGCGTCGCTGACGAATATCCATGAAAGATTCCCGGTGTCGAGAATTCTGAGTTTGCGCTTCGTACAGAAAAAGTGAAAGGTGTGTTTATTCGGCACCAACGCTCTTCTTCATCTCAATTTCGTTCATATTCTATCGAAGCTATCAAGTGCTCGACCATTGGCACCCTTTGTTCTTTTCCGCGCACTCGACCTCTGTTCGTCATTCAATACATCCTCTCCTATTCTTTCCCCAAAACCGTTATATTACATATTATTCTCGTCGTCACCGCTGCTTATTCGCGCCCAAGTGCCGCCACAGCCCGACGTTCAACGAGGCTTGATGCCATCGATCTCTGATTTCCTCCCACTGCAGTTGATACTTTTCCTCGACCTCGCACGGACAGTTGGTCATTTTATTGGGTAGACTCTTGAATGAGATCACCCTCAGGACGGAGGTCGGTATGGAGGTGTGTTTCCCATGACATTGGAGTGTTTATACCCGCATTGCACGCTCTTCTTCTCTTATCGATTTCCTGCCCTTCGTACATAGGCTCCCGCGTAGAATATTTGGTTCTCGTCCCGTCGTAGAAGGCAGTCGGGAAAGCAAAGGAATTCAGAAGAGTCCTTAGTTTCGTAAGTCTGATTTTCGTTTCGAGTACAAGTAGTGCACTCCGCCATTTTGCTCCGCATTTGATATCTTCCAGTGTCATCAGCCGCAGAGATATAGTGTCTCAAGAAAAAAACCCAAGTTCAAGTGATTATCTTCCCGGTCTATCAAGTCAGGTCGTACCGTAGAAATAAGTATTATCCTTCGAATCGTTCTCGGGCGACTGGCAAGAGATTGATATAGTTGTCGTATCCGACAGCGCAAGCCAACCTATTCCAGACTCAGAGTTTAAGTTCGACTCGGGTAAGAGCGAGAACCTTTCAATATGCCTCCAAGTCCTGGCCCTGTGTTCTCCGTTAACCAGTCATTAGGCGCGCGAGGTGAATGGCCTGAGTCAAAATTGAATTCAGAGACATGAAGACTGAATCCTGAGACGGCAACCGAGACGGAGGAGCACGATTCCTAGGAAGTCTCTGAGTAAGCTATTTCATCGACGCAGCGGTATGTAGAGTAGAGGAGTCAAAGAGATAGATGATGGAGCCCAAGTCCAACCCAAGGCTCGATGACGAAGACGACGGCACAGTCCATAAATAAATCGCGAGCCTAGGCTAGTGGGTATGAACAGGAAGGGGCTTTAGTGGTCCTTGCGCGATGACGGATACTTGGTTGAAGAGCTGAAGTTGAATGCAATGGAATATGTGGGAGCAAATAAGAATAGTTACAGCATCGAACTTATTGAAGCGATTCGGACGCTACATCCCATGCCCAGCCGGCCATCAACGGTCAGTCTCTGTCCACTAGATGCAGGTATAAACAGCCCAGCCCAGCCCAGCCGGCAGAGAATAAGGAGTTATCACTCTAAATCGTAAAGTGAATGGGGTGCTGCCAAGCTTAGATGCTTAGATTCGACGGGTCGTCAAAGGTCGAAAGAAAGCGAAAGGGAGGAAAAGCGTTTGAGGGTCCACGAGGGAGGGGGATCGCGAAGGCCCATCAGGCGTTGGCGCTAGAAGAAAGCGAGGACAGTAAGAAGCCGTTGTGATCGTGGTGACAGCGGCAGCTCGATCTACCTTACAGTAGAGATAATGCGGAACGGGATGCTCAACACGACATGTAGGCGTTGGGAGACGGAAGGGAGACGTGCTTTTTCGAAGCGAAACAAATGCGGATCGTGGACAGGTGTTACGGTGTTCAGAGAGAGACGGCGATGAGGTGGATGGATAGAAGAAGTTGGGAGATTATGTGGTGAGTTGACGTTGGGAGGTTATACGTCGAATAAGAGCGGATTATGGCCGGATTGAGTACAGCGAGGAGAAAATGCGCCGTTGTGGAGAAAGACCGATGTTTGAGCTCGTCTACCCGTCCTTCGCAGGGGCAGCCTGAACGTCCGAGAACCAGGAAGAAATGCAAGATAGGGGGTCCTAGGCTGCAAGACACGAGATTGAGCCGTACTCGACCATGAGTTTCGGATGAATGGACCGCCAATGGCGAGACGCACTAATAGGCAAATCAGAATATGCATCTGAAACCCGTCAGGGGATAGGTTCTTGTTCTCGTGCTAGAAACGAAGTTCACCGGTGTTAATGGGAGTGTCCGTCGACTACGAAGCTGTGAGTTCGATGGTCGCACGTACTTGGAAGCGGAGTGAGACTAGCGGGGTCCGAGCTCGGGACTCGACTCGAACCGTGAAATCCTAGTGCACCACAGCACCAGTACTAACGGTGAGCAGCTACGTTTCCACCATTCCCCGCTACCGACTGTCAACCTCTGACAATCTTTGGCAGCATTCAACATCGGTGGAAGAGCACGCGGTAGGAATACCAGCACTGCCTGCAACCAAACGGCGGGGAGAGGTGGACGGACGAGATACTTGCGGGTGGGTGGTACGAGGCAGTTCGGGGGCAGGGGGCAAGGATTCGACCCAGATGGTGGCTGTGTGGCCTGGACCCATCTTATCTTATCCTGGCTATGGCTTCCGAGTTCAACCATCGGTGACATAATGCCGACGTCTCTTATTTCCCTCCCTCTCTTGACGCACGATTCTAGCTCCTGGAACAGCCCTCTGCTACCTGTTCCTCGCTCAGATCAAACGATGCCTTCTGATAGCTAGGATGAGCTTTCGAGCTCGGACACGGAACACATTCTGCGGACATGATGAAGACGAGGCCTAGCGAAGACAGCCCCGAGGTCCTCTCTCTGGTTACGAGTCACTGGGGCCTCTTGGTGCTGCTGTCGAGTATGATGAACGTGAAAGCGCCTGTGAAGGTGTGTAGGCCCCTCTTTTGACGTGTCTATGAGGCACGTCTGATGCCTTGTACTAGTCCTCGTCGCCGTCTCTTTCACCTCCACCTCACGTTATTACCAAACATACACGGTATATCTGCCACACCGTCAATCTCACAACTGATTGATGAACCCTGGCTTGCACCGCGATGACGACGGCCCTCACTATCAAGATAAGGAACAGGAGAATGGTCTACTACTCGCTCAACCACCCATCTATTCCGACGCCAGGGCTGAACAGGCGTTTGAAGACCGCCGTCTCTCTCCGTCTCTCTACGCCTCCCCGCTCTAAGACGATACACACGACTCAAAAGGAAGGGTAGACACTTAGAGCTTCGACGATTCTCGGCGTCGTGAAGAGTTCGCAACACGAGACCGGACTGGACTTTCGCATTGCAGCAGGGATAAAGTACGATGCCTGCAAGGCTTGAGATCGGGCGCTGGTGGCGGGATGGAACGGGTATATTGGAGTGTTTTTGAGTACAATACGAACTCGGAAATCGAACGTCTGGGTGTGTGCATCTCCTTCATACGTAGAATCTCGACGCTGCTTACCATGCGTATTCCATCTCCTCTACTTGCAGTTTTCGCAGGGGTGGATCTAGTCCCATACATACGTGCGGGTGCGTTTTCTATCTGAACCCTCCACACGCAGACTTGTGCTTACTGACGATTTTGACCTAGACGCTAGGTACCACGAGGCACGATATCGACTCGGAGCTCGGAGTTCAGGCTCGAAATTCGCGGCAAGGGAAGGCGGTACGGAAATGTTCTTCGTGAGGAACGCGCAACGACTCTCGCTTGGAAATCGTCGAGGAGGTGCTGGATGGTTTGGTGTTTACCCTTCTTGTGGCGTGTGGGTGCACTGGCTTGGAAGTGGTGATGATGACGACTCGCGAGGATGATGACGAGGACTTGACACTCTCACTGGATTAGTCAGGTAATCGCATCTTCGGTCTATAGGGTGGGTTTCTGTGCTACAATTCATCGTCTTCGCGTTGGCAAATTTATTCGGACCCATACATATTGAATCCGGCTATCCATTCTTCAAAACCCTTGGACGACAGTTGTATCACGCGATCCTTAGAGACTCTTTTATCTACGCCGGCGCTTCTCATTCTCGTGAAAGGAGCTAGTCGTCTATATCCACGGGGATGACATCTGGGTGGCAGTGGATGTTGTTATAGTAGTAGTAGTAGTAGTAGATTACCGGCATGGTCCAAACGCTGAACACCGGGTTTGTATTTGAATAATGGGCTATTTACCCTGAGGATTGAGGGATGCGGGAAACAGAAAATGGCTCAAGCGGGTGTCATGCGAGACGCTCAGAGAGGGAATATTTCGAATAACTCACTCTGCGTTCAAGTGGTTATCTTTAGGAAATGCGGCCCAATATTGAGCCTTAGAATTGTTCCCGGATGACTGAAAAAAATGGACATACAACGCACATTCTCATCGGGCGAAAGCAAGACTGCAATCCAGCTTCCTCGCGCTTCCATCGCGTGGTGAAGTACCAATCCTTCGTTCCGTTTCGCTGTAAATTGGTCGTTACGAGGTAGATACTTCTCAAGTCAAGGCCCAGCCAAGATTGGAGCACTAAGATGTCGAGATGGACGTGAATTATGGAGCCCAAGTCCAACCTAGAGACGATAATTAAAGTCTATAAGTAGACTGCGGTCCCAGGTTCTTGAGTACGGAGGACCGAGAGAGAGGGGCATCGAGAAGGTTGGTCAGACGTAGGCCAGGGCAATAACGTGCTGAGTGCAGGGATTACAACTGCAGCGTTGTCTACCATAGAGGAGAATTAACGGGGAATGGAGTACTTGACGCTACACGTGGTGGTTGGGCCCAGGAGAGGGAAGAGCCGCCTGTCTTTTCGAAGCGAAACAAGTGCGGGTGGCAGGTCATGGGCGTGTGTTATAGGGTTCCGGGAGAGAGGGCGATGGGGCTCGAAGGATACGTTGTGGGTTACCGTTGGGAGGCAAGACGTCAGATAAGAAGGGACCAGCCGCCAGGCAGAAACGGGCGGCGATCCGAATCGAGATGTAACGATCAATGCGACACTCGTCAGAAAAGGGCGGATTACTTATGGCTAGTACTGTGAGGAGAAAGGGCGCCGTCGTTGAGGAAGACGGATGTTTGTGTCGTTTCCTAAAGGACACTATGGCCATAATGAGTTTGAGAGCTTGAGAGGAGTTTTTATCCTACGGTGCATAGGAATATGAGATCGTCTAGCCGTCCTGTGGAGAAGCAGTATGAACGTCCGCGAACGAGGAAGAAAGCAAGAATAGACCAGAAGATCGAGTCCTACTCGACCATGAGTTACAGACGAATGCACCGCGGATGATGAGACGCACTAATAGGCTAGGTCGAGTTCCATCAGAGCATGCATCCGAAGCTCGTCCGGGCTAGCTTCTTGTACACGCGCTGGAAGCGAAGTTCACCGGTGTCGATGGGGGTATCCGCCGACTACGAATTGTGGGTTCGGAAGACGAGAGGGCTCGAACCGTGTAAAGCTCCACTGAATGACTTCGTTGAGGACTGGACTTCGGCCCAAATCCACCACCCTGGCCACACATGCGAAAACATAGCAGAAAGCAAATGACAGCCGAGTACGAACAGAGAGCAGTAAATTTCCACCCCTCCTTGACACCAACTGTCAACCTCCGACGAACTTTGGCCGCGCACCACGCCGTGGCGAAGGACACGCTATAGAAATACCAGCGCCGTCTTCAACCGAGCGGCGGGGATATGCATGGCAGAGCTGCAGAGGCCGACTTGAGAGTGGGCGATTGGAGAGGGTAGGAGGGCGAACTCGAAAGGGGCAGAGGAGTCGCTCGTCCGAGGGTGGTGGTACGAGGTCAAGAGTGTGATCCAGCTTCCGAGTTCGGGGGCCTCGGGATTCGATCCGATTGGTGGCTGTGCGGTCTAGACTGCATCTTATCTTATCCTGCGCACTCAGCGGTCCGTCCAGCCGCTGCTTCTCGAACCATCGGTGACGTAACGACGATGCTCGTTCCTCCTCTCCTTCTCCCTCTCTCGACCGTGCACGTCCACGACTCTCGCTCCGGGAACAGCCCTACAGTACCCGTTCGGTGCTCAGCGCTCCGTTCGGACGATGTCTTCTCATGGCTTGACATATGATCTCTCGGACTCGGAGACGGAACACCAACTGTGTGATGAAGCTGAAGACGAGCTCTGGCGAAGATAATCCTGGGGTCCTCTCTCTGGTTCGGGAGTCGCTGGTGCTAGCTCGTGCTGCTATTGTGGTTGACGAAGGCACATATGAAGGTGTGTATGCTTCACCTTTAACGCATCTACGAGACACGTCTGGACGGCTTGTACTCGTCCTCCTCTCCGTCTCTTTCACATGGGATGTCTCTCACCTCTTCCCTGTCGACCACGCAACTACCTGCAGAATCCTGGCTTGTACTGTTCTGACAGCCATGACAGATATCAGGACAGAGAACTACTCAATGGTCAACGTTCCACGTTCAGTTGCTCCTGGCCAATCTCGAAAGCGGACACGGGTCTTTGGACATCGGCGACTTCATATCTACACCTCGGCATCGAGGACGGCGCACACGAAGAGACAAACGACAGTTTGTGCGACCTCGTTGTCGTACGGTTGAACCGTTGGGCGTTGACGAAGGGTTTGGGCGTGGCGTCCGAGAGAATGGAAAGGGCCCTATTGGACTTGCTATATGCGAGGACATAGCAAACGAACTAGGTACGTCTGTGTCCGTTATTCACCCTTCGAACCATTGAACTCAAGCCTTCCCTCTATCACACCCCTCCCTTCTGGCCATCCATTTCAATCAGGTCGAGCTCGGCCCTATCGTTGACCGTCAAGTCCGGCACCACGAAAGGCCTCTTATACCCCATCGCGACGACGTGCCGGGCCTCAAGAGGAAGAACGGAAACGCTACACCTGCGCCTAAGTCTGAGTCTGGATTTACGTCCGCCGTCCTACGTGCTCCTCAATCTCACTCCATTGCTCTAGGCTACTCTCTAGTCGCCCGCCCCGCTCCTGGTCCGAAGCTCTGATTCTGAACGTTCGGATGCCGACCTCCGGAACCGAAAACTTCAACATCGGCCTCTTTTCTTTGTGCATCGCCCCTTTACTTCTACATAATTGGAGACAACGCACCTAACACGGTCCCGGATCTCCGTAGTTCCTCAGGCTACGGTGGACGACGTGCATGACAAGATAACCCAAAGGTTGTACGGCCCTCGCGGTCGTAAGGTTGGACACTGATGCTGGTGCAGGGTGTCGAATAAGTGCTTGAGGGACAAGCACGAACGAGCTTGGAGCGCTAGGTGCGTCAGTCTCCATCATGATTTGAATCACGACGCTCATCCATATTCCACCTCCCTTACCTCCGCAGCCTTCATTTTCATCTAATTTATCCAGTTTATCCAATCTGATTTCAGTGCCGCTATCGAACGTCGGTTCAGATACCACGAAAGTTCATGCCCTATCGTGCACTGCGTACAAGGCCAACCAAACACCAAGTCTAAATCTAGAATCTGAATTTTTACCCGCCGTCCGTCCGTCCGTCCTGCTCCTCACTACGCCGCTCTCGACTCTTGACCTTGTCTCTGATCCCCAGCCCCGATGTCAGTCCGACCAAGCTCTGAACGTTCAGACGCCAGATGCCTCTCGTAAATCCGAAATCGTGGAGTGACGTACATACGTCTGCGCACGTGACGGGTTCTCGATTCTCGAGCCCCGTTCTTACTTATCTTTCTACTAAGAGCCGACCATGCGCAGGCGCACAACGCCACCACTCCCATCAATCTCCGTCCGCCCCGGTGGTACCACTCGGTGCTCTGTATTTGGTGTTCGGCTTCTGACCGTGGGCGTGACGCGTGCTGACTAGGCGATGTACACAGGTCAGAATAAGGGCGGACTGCGTCTCAATTTTTCGCGTGGGGTAAACGTAAACCGAGTGTCGTATGTCCATGCCGGTGCGCTGTCTATCTGAACCCTTCAAACGCGGATTTATGCTTACCGATGATCAAGTATGACCTGGACGTTAGGTGCCAGGAGGCGTGGTATCTCGGACTCGGACCTCAGGCTTGAATTTTGCTGAAAGGCGTAAAGGGAATACGAAAAGCGCAACACGGAATGACCCTTGCTGGAAGTCATCGAGGTGAGGTAGAAGAGGAGGAGGCAGGTAGTGGTCGATTCGTTGGTTCTTCCCAACGTACATTCCCAAACGGCGAAAGGTGAATCTCTGAATATTTGAAATAGTTGGATGGGTATGTATTTGATTTCGAACACCTCTCAGATCGAGTCTCAGGTCTAAGCGTCATTGGCGCCTACCATACCGCTATGTAGGTCGGAATAAGGGCGGGGGGATGGACCTAGTCCCGTACTTGCCAGTGCGTTTTCTATTCTATTCTATGAATGCGGACTTGTGCTTACGGGGGATTGTGGTTTGAGAGTTAGGTACCTGAGGTGCTCGAGTCTCAGGTCTTAGTGTTGAGGACGCATTTAGTGGCGGAGTAGTCGAAGGGACAGGTGGGTGATAATATATATACGGTATGCCAGCTAAGTACTCTGTGTGGATCCTCTAGTGTTGCTTTCCGAGCTTTTCAGAGCTTCCGCTCGTAATGCTGACTCGATTTCCCGGGTGATAAATATCTGAGTTTTGCTACTCTGGAGTCCACGATGTCACGCTGAATGTCGGACAGATCACCGCCCGTGGCTGGTTTAGTCCACCATCAGATTCAATGTTTGATACGTCACTTTTACTACTTGCTTCCTCCCACTATCTTCTGCAGAGTTGGTTGACGACACCGTTTCTCCACATCTTGTCTTCGCTTTCGAACCCTCAGATACTGCCATGAAGAAGGTTTTTCGTTTCAAACGCGGGGTTGTTTCTCCACATACCCAGGACGAGCCTCCGATGGCGACTATGCTCACGTATTTACCCCTTTATTTGCCACAGGACATCCTCGACCTCATCGTCGACGAGCTGGGCTCATACGCAGAGAGACACAAGCCTGTCGCCCTCTCTACGCTGGCCTCATGCGCCCTTGTCTCCCAATCGATTAGCGCCCGTGCGCGCGGTCACCTTTTCTCAACGATCTGCCTTAGGTGGAAACCATACACTTCGACCGCCGATGCCCGTCGCGACCGAAACCGTGCCCTCAAACACATAATGGAGGCTGACACCCAGTTCGTTTCCTTCGTCCGCACCTTGGGGCTTTCCCTTGACGATGATGGGTGGGGCACAGACGACTTTTCGGGCGTGCTTACAATGCTGTATAGCACACCGCGGTCGGGTCTACGTTCCCTACGCTTGGTAACGTCGCCCTCCTCGTTAGTGCCACGCTTGTGGTGGTCGGACGTCGAAGGAGCGGGGAGGAAGGCATTTATCAATTTATGCCTCTCGGGGTGCTTGGCCGAGCTCGTCATACATGGGCCGATGAAGGACTCGATCCTCCTCCTCGCCAAGATTCCACGAGGCCTGGTGAGTATGGAGTTGTGCAACGTGTCGTTCCTGTCTATAGGCTCCGGGATAGGGCTGGATGTGGGAGACGGAGAGGGCGCAAAGCTAGAGAACCTGGTGGTAAATCAAGTGTCCGCTGCCGCGCTGTTCGCCGATTTGGAAGCAGGGTCTGCGCTCAGAACGCGTATTCTTGCTATGATGCAAGGGCTGAAGACGCTCGAGCTGGAAAGGGTGCACGTGTGGGAGGACGGGAGGCACTTCGCCTTTGCCGTTGTGCTAGAGCAGTGTGCAAGATCCCTACGGAGGCTTGTTTGGTAAGCTACTTGCTATCTGCAGTGGTGGTGGGCTGATTTTATCACTTCGCAGGTCAGTCGAGCCCTTCCAAGATCATATCAGCACCTTGCTCTCGCACGTCCCCTTATCCTCCTTCACCGCCCTCCGATTCCTCACGTTTAAAATATGGACTAAGGATGGATTCGTCCCAAACGTCAACACGCGTCATATCTTCTCGGCCATCCAAGACAGCTCACTGCTTTCTCTGGAGCACATAACGTTCACCATTAGACTTATCTCCACTACATCCACGCCCAAAACGGGTACCATAGACGATCTGACGGATCCCGTCAAGGGCTGGAGCTGGGGGACGCTGGACGCAGTCCTGGGACGTACGACGCGCTATCCCTCGTTGGTGATGGTGGAAATTGATCTTGGGAATGTTGGACTAGACATTGGTAGTCGATTCGTGACGGAGGAGGCTTATGCGAAGGAAGAGGCAAGAGGGCACCTCGAGGCGCTCTTTCCCTCTATAGTGGCGCGTGGAGTGAATTTGAAGATATCGTTCGAGGGTATTTACTTTTGTAGCAGGCACACTTAGTTTCGGAAGTAAGGCATACAAACTCGTGCTTTCAATGACTCCTTTCGAACTTGAGCTTGTTAGCCTGAACCTCACGGTTTACCAATTACGGTCAGATTTACATGTCCATATATTCTTCGTCTTGACCCAACCGACTCACCGGAGCGCTGAAAGTATCTCAGCCGCGCTCCTCACCCAATGGCTGGAGGTGTCCCTGGCGACTATCCGTGAAAGGTTTTCACCGTCCAGAACTCCGAGTTTGCGCTTCGTACAGAGTAAAGTGAAAGTGAGTTTATTCGGCATCAACAGTCCGCAGAGTTGTAGACTCTCGAGAGCTGTGCTGAAACCCCACGTTCAAGTGCCAGTGGTTGTCTTCCCAGTCTATCAAGTCAGATAATACGGCGCTAATATCGACCCTTGGAACCTGTTCCCGGACGACTGGAAAGAAATCGATAAATTTATGCTATCCTACAGTGTAAACTACCCGATCCCGGGCTCACAGCGCACATTCCCATTGGACGAAAGCAAGACCGCAAACCAACTTCCTGACGCTTGCGCCGCATGAAGGACCAATCCCTTCCTCGTCGTTCACCGTAAACCGGTCATCTCGCGCACGAAGTAAGCAACCCTCGCGTCTAAGGCAAAACCAAAGGCGGGAACACTGGAATGTCGAGACAGACTCGGGAAGCGGAGGAACGCGACGCAATGATGTGGACGAATTCCGACCGTCTCCGAAGATACGAGGGATTTGTTTATTGGTCGAGCAGAGTACTAGGAGTAGAGCCATCCAATGCAGCGCGGCACAAGAGGATATCACCGTAAGGTGAATAGCCCGCTCCCCGCCGGATCTGACCCATGGAGTCGCCCAAGCTCGAAATGAAACAAGACGAACTTGAAGGGAAGGGAGTTGAACGTCCGTCTCGAGGACGAACTTGAAGAGAGCCAAGGGCGAGCGTGGTGGTAGGAGCGCCGGTGGGTGTACGCCATGGGCTAGGGCGACGAGGCTGGGATGACACTCGGCCCGCGTTCACGTCTATGACTATGATCAATACTTTAACGGGAAACTAGGTGCTTGATGCGCGTGAGGAGGAAGCATGCAACGCCCGTGGCGCGTGCTCCTCTGAGAAGAAACGAATGCAGGTCATGGGCCGGCGTGGTTCAGGAGAGGATAATGCAGTAGATACATAGAAGGAGTTGACAGTTGACCGCGGTTTAGGGATAAGTAGAGTACAGTGGGCGCGGAAGGGGCTATGAATGAGGGGAGCCTCGAGGAAGACAAGAGTAGCCCGAAACGATTCGCTACATAAGGAATCCTGAGATCGAGTCGAGTTTTCTGAAAGTGGGTGCGTGTTAGAGTAGAAGCGCTGAGGTAGGGAGCCGTAGTTGACCAAGTCGGATACAAATGCGTGAACTATAATATATGCTAGTAGGCCGAGTCGAGTTCCATTGGAGGATGTTTCAAAAGTCCGTCCGGCGCGAGGATCTGGTTGGAAAGCATGTCCGCTGAGGTGGTAGAGAGGGACAGGTTGAAGAGAGAAAAGAAAAGAAAATGCTGTGACAGGAACTCGGACTTTGATTGGGGCTCGGGGCCGCGGGTGGATGAGGGCGTATGCATATGGCGTTTCCAGAGCTGTGGGTCGGGAGCGGGATAGTAGCGGGATAGTAGCACCGAGGCAGGCGGCTGTTAGCGTCGGTGTACGACACCGACGACGTCGAGTGAGCTACTGAGTACGTACATAGCGTCCTAGATATTCCTGAGGTTGTGGATGGAGACGTATTGAGAATCGAGTAGACGTTAGATGCGTATGGCGGAGGAGAACCGATTCCCGGAGTTCGATAGGGCGCCAAACTTTTTTGTTGATAAATAATTTGCACTCGGATGTGCGGTGGGATATCGCGCACGTACCTGTTGTGTGTTCGCGGGCAGATCTGCTTTAACAGAATAAGCCGGTATGGACGAGGGAAGTCGAACGGTGTACGTCGACAGGAAAGCATAGATTCAAGCGAGGTAGTTACTTACCTCGGCGCGAGAGGACGGCGCTTGGCGGTATATAGCTGGAAGCGGAGAGATGACATCAGACCTCGAGGTTTCACGGCTGTGAGCCGAAAGGGAAGTATCAAGTCATAAGAAGATGTATGGCCCACCCTCCCCGCCGCGCACGCAGTCTAACAGCCCAAAGAACGTCCACCGAACACAACACAGAGCAGCGAAAACTTTCCACTTCCCGCCACCCATCGTCCTCCGTCAACCCCTGCCTGATAGCGATGCCGACGGGAGCCACTGGGAAGAGCATGTGGTAGGAGTACCGGCAAAGCTTGCAACCCAGCGGCGTGAATATGTGCGTGGCAGTCAGAAGGGGTGGGCGGATGGAGCACTTGTGGGTGAGCGAGGACAGCGGAGAGGAAGAAGATAGGGGGAGGGCGAGAGGAGACGGTGAGAGACGGGTGACGAAGGGGGGAGCATGAAGAGGGGCGATAGAGGCGAGCAGAGAGGGAGAAACACAGAGAATCAGAGGTGTACTGAGATCTACTACTAGGGAAGGGAGGGAAAGAGTCGCTCGTGGTGGTGCGAGAGCAAGAAGTGCCGATCCAACTTCCGACTCCGGGTCAAATCAACCCGGATGGTGGCCGTGCGGTTTAGACTGCATCTTATCTTATCCTCGCGGGGCGGTCCGGCCACCCGTGGATCTCGCGAAGTCGAACCATCGGTGACGTAATGATGATGTTCGTTTCCCTCTCCCTCTCTCGGCGCACGTCTACTCTCGCTCCTGCAACGGCGCTCCGATATCTCGCATTCTAATTCCCTTCAACCTGTATGGTATCTCTGGAGAAATCTGTCACCAACTCTCATTCAGCTCGGAGACGGAACACATGGCAGACGTGGCGAAGGCGAGCCTCGGTGAAGAAAATCCCGAAGTCCTCCCTCTGGTTCGGGGCACTGGAGTTGATTGGTGCTGCTGTCGAGGATTGTGAACGTAAAGGTGCCTGTGAAGGTGTGTATTCTCCACCTTTGACGCATCTACGAGACATGTCTGATGACCTATTCTCGTAGTTCTCCTCGTCCCCTTCAACTTCGTCTCGCGTTATGAATGTGCTTACATGGGATGTCTACCACCTCGTGATCGTCGACCATGAAATTCCCTGCTGAATGGCTAGCATCTAGATGACGACGATTCTCGATATCGCGCTAGAGAGCAAGAAAATGGATAGAATCACCCTCCCTGCCCATCCCACCGCCAGAGCTGAACGGGCTTTTTGGACACCAGCGTCTCTCTCGTGGGTCTCGCAGAGTTGAAGGCGCTGTTGTTGCTGTTCCTGAACGAGACGAAGGCATACCAGAAGCTCATAGATGTCGACTTTTCTAGGACATGTAGGATGGAATTATGGTGCGTAAACCTTCCTCTCGATGCCTCCTCTCGATTCCCCGTCGTCTAACATACCTATAGACATACCTGGTATCCCCACACCCCTCCCGGAACTCTCCCGTCAAGCCCACTCCGACTTTCCCGACTACACACAAACTGAATATGGGGTTGCTCAGATTCGGCAGCATGGTCGACGACTCGCCCGGGCCACCGCTCTTGAACCTAAAGTTGAACGGCACCTTCAGAACTGAAATCATCGTCGGCTCTCTCCGTGTATCTTCTTTCTTTTCCGTGGAAGATGGGAGCGGGAGGACGACAGACCGTGGCCGACATATCAAACTTCGAGGAACAATATTTCGATACTCGCTCCAGGGCGTTCGGAGTAGGCAGGAGCTTAGACGCCCCGGCTGGATGAACTTGTACCCCTGGATCCAGAACGGAGCACGGAGCATGACGTCGACTCGGATGGGGGTGATGGGCAAGGTTTCGCTATGAGACCCCAAGAGAATAGAAACGGAAAGAGGGTAGTTCGTACGAACGCCCTGATCACACCGACTGCCAGGTGCGTACTTTGCGATTCTGCATATGCTTATGACGCTGATTCGTCCTCTTATCTTCCTCCCTTCTAGCCTCATCGCCTCTATTCAGCCTGTCTTTCTCTCCTCTCTCCGTGTCTCAGTCGTCCGGTCTATTTCGCCTTCCCCTCCCTTCCCCGCTTCATCACAACTCGAATGGGTCGAGTCCACCACCACCACCACCACGACCGCGAGCACGGCTGCCAGCACCAGCACCGTCGGCAACGCCAGCATGACCGCCAACACTAACGCCCACGCCAGCCTAATGCCTCTATCCCGGCCGCACGGCGCACGGCTCAGGCTCCGAACTACAGCACACATTCCTGAGTCCTGGGTCCTTCGTCCTACTCCCAAAGGGCATTTAGATGACGCTCCTGACTCGGAGTCCTGGCAGATGAGCACTTGGCTGTGCGGAATGACAATAGGGACTAGGATCACGCCCCAGCTGGGTGCTGAAGATGCGAGGATGTCAAGTTTGAACGATCTGAGGCGCATACACTCACTCAGCTCAGAGGGTTTGGGATTTTCGCATTCGGTTCGTCGATTGTCGAGTTGGCGTTCGAAACTTCGAGTTGTATCGTCGGCGTTGTGGGCGTCGTTGGTGGGCGGGTGGGTGGATGCACCCTGCATTTATACCGCCACGTTTCGATGGCGGGCAGAGGAGTTGCATACAGTCAGGTCTGTTGAAATTCAGTATTCGACGCTCGATGCTGGACGACGCTCACGTACGCCCCTTAGAGTATTCTCAGCGAACCATTCGTGGGTTATCGCCCTCTAAAGCATCATATACGCCATCCCCGCTCCCGCGGCACGATTTGAACGCCTGGCGACTGTAGGTCCCCCTCACCGTCCACCGTGCATGTACTCGGACTTAGTATCTCCACCCCCTCCTCCTGTTCTTACTCGCGAAGTTAGATTTGTGTCTCGGAGACGCGTTCAGCTATCGACCACGGGGCCGAACCTAGGCGCTACTCGATGTAGGTGCGTATTTCACATTTTCTGCGAACATGCTGCGTAGATGGCTGATAGGTTGTTCCAACTTCGTCTGCAGATCCGTCTAGTTGTGTCTACGCTATGCTGGTGACGTGGAGCATGCGTCGACGGGCTGAAAAAGAAAGGTTGAGGAGATCTATACGCATGTGGTGTGTATCTTCGTCTCGTCTCTTTCAAGTTTTCACGTTTTGGAGTTACTTAGAGGGACTTGCAGGATTCACACCTGATGCCTCTTGTCGAGAGTCGGTGCTAGTAGACGAAAATGGTGTCGTGACACTGGATGGGCGTTCATGAACTATCCCCAGGAAGGGGGGTGTCTTGTTCGAGCATTTGACAAAGTGTAAGGGACGAGAACAACTGCCTGGTGCCGAAGCTCTGAACTTTGAATGTTCTATATAGGCTCGACACGCTTCACTATGGACACCTAGCTTCGGGTTGGATCTTCCTTCGGTCTGTCGATTTGGAGTCGGCCATTCGGGCTCGAGCTGGGTGCTGGATCAGTGCATGGGTACGCTGGGCTTTAGCGTGTATGTTTCGCACGATTTTCAGTCAGGTATGTAGAAATGTCAAAGCTCGCGCTATCGACGAGGTCCGGGCTCATCAGGGTTCCTTATTTGCAGCGGATTATTCGAGCGCTCTGGTGCGTCATGCAAGTGCAAACGATGACACGACGGTACGTCTGTCTGGCTTTCTACGCTTCGGCGGCTCGTCCGTTACCACTGCAGATGCTAGACAGCCTAGTGTATACATCGCTCTTGGAACGGTCTTCTGGTGCTGGTATTTCGTCTTGGGCAACGGAATTTGAGACTTATATGAGCTTTCTGTCTGCTCGCAAACGGAACGCTAACAGTTGGAAAGAAGAGTCAAGACAAGCAAGGTGATCCGAGTCCCGATTCCCGAAGTCCTCTTGCTGGTTGGTACTGCTTTCGATTTAGGACGAAAGCCTCTGTGTGCGGTGTGTTACGAGTGTGGTCTGGGTGGGGAACCGATTCATCGACCCTCGATGAATTATGAGAACTTCTTCGGTGCGTATGCATCCTTAATATTTGAGGCATGCACGACACATCTGATGACCTCACCTTCAGAGCTTCGTTTTTCCCGACTATCGGTGTGCCCTTGTTGATAACACAGACTAACTGCGACGTCGACAGCCTAGCGAGCGGCAGAACGGCCAACACACAACGTAAAGTCACCTGCTTCAGCCGTCTACTTCTCACTCCATCACTCTAGGCTGTCTTTTACACTCTGGACAATGGTCATGGCGGAGAATTTTTGCTAGCCGCTCTACTCTTTCTGCTTTCTGCTCTCTGGACGTCCGGACGTGATTCTATTGTAAGTTGTGGCAGATGCTACATGCACCTGGACTCTGCCTGCGTGTGCAACCCAGGTGCCGCTCAAGCGCTCAATGCTGATCAAGTTCGCTTTACATAGATGTACAATATCTCCGTTTTCCCAGGTAATAGTGACTATTCAGCTTAGGACCATAACTTCCGCGGCGCTGTTTTCTGCTCGTTGCGTGGGACTGCATTCCAAGGACTCTGTGAGTAGCCTCCGCATTCATCCCCTTCCAAATGCCAAGGCTATTACTATTGATTACTACTACTCAAGAGGTTCACAATGTCCCGCTCTGAATCCGAACGCCGAATGAACTATCGGACAATCGCCGCCCATCGTCGTCGCACGGGACTGGTTTAGTTTGCCATCAAGCTCAATGTTTGATATGTTACTTGCGTCCTCCCACCATCTTCTTCAACGAGACCGTCAACGTTCTTCTCCATCTTTTCTTCGTTTTCGCTCCCTCTGACTGCCACGAACAAGGCCTTGCATTTCAAGCACAGGGTTACTTCTCCACATAACCAGGACCAGCTTCAGATGGCGACTACGGTCATGGATTCGCCCCCTCATCTGTCGCAGGAAATCCTCGACCTCATCGTCGATGAGCTGAGCTCGGGCGTCAAGAGATACGATCGCGATCCTGTCTCTCGCTCTACGCTAACCTCATGTGCCCTCGTCTCCAAGTTGATGAGCGCCCGCGCACGGGGGCATCTCTTCTCAACAATCTCTCTCTGGTGGGGGGTGCTTGCTTCCACCGCCAAAGCTCGTCGCGCCCGTATCCGTGCCCTCAAACACATCATGGAGGCCGACCCTCAGTTCGTTACCTTCGTCCGGACCTTGGAGCTTTCCCTTGACGATGACGTGTGGGGTACAGATGCCTTTCCCGGTGTGCTTACGATGCTGTTTAGCACACCGTCGTCGGGTCTGCATTCCTTACACTTGATACTGTCGCAGGTCTCATCAGGGCCGCGCTTGCAGTGGTTGGACGTCGAAGGAGCAGGGAGGAAAGCGTTCATCAATCTGTGCCTCTCGGGGTGCTTGACCGAACTCGTCGTAGACGGACCGATGAGGGACCCAATCCTCCTCTTCGCTAAGATCCCGAAAGGCTTAGTGAGTATGGAACTGTCCAAAGTGTCGTTCCCACCTGTAGTGCCGGAGTCGGGGACAGGGCTGGATGTGGGAGACGGCGAGGGCGCAAAGCTGGAGAAGCTGAGGGTGGATGACGTGTCCGCTATCGCGCTGTTCGCCGACTTGGAAGCAGGGTCTGCACTCGCAACGCAGATCTTCGCTATGATCCAAGGCCTGAAGACGCTCGAGCTGGGAAGGGAGAGTGTGTGGCAGGGTGTGAGGCACTTTGCCTTCGCCCCTGTGCTACAGCATTGTAAAAGATCGCTACAGAGGCTTGTCTGGTAAGCTACTTGCGCAGATATAGCGTGTATCCGCTGTAATGGTGAGCTGATTCAATCACCTTGCAGGTCAATCGAGCCCTCCCAAGACCACATCAGTGTCCTGCTCTCGCGCATCCCCTTATCCTCCTTCACCGCCCTCCGGTTCCTCACATTTCTAATGTGCACTAAGGATGGAATTGGTCCCGACGTCAACACTTGCCATATCTTCTCGGCCATCCAAGAAAGCACAATGCCCTCTCTGGAGGACATCACCTTCTTCATTACACTTTTCGTTCCCATATCTATGCCCAGGAATGGTATCATAGACGAACTGACGGACCCCTCTACGGGCTGGGACTGGGGGGCGCTGGACGTAGCCCTAGCGAGTGCGACGCGTTATCCCTCGTTAGCGATGGTGGAAATCATTTTTGCGAACGTTGGACCAAGGATGAGCGGTCTGCTTACGAAGGGGGCGTCTCCGCAGGAAAAGGCGAGACTACACCTTCAGGCGGTCTTCCCTTCTTTTCTTGCACGGGGTGGGGACTTGAAGATATCACTTGTGGGGGTTTCATTTTATGAAAGGCATACTTAGTTTCCGAAGTAAGTCATACAAACCCTTCCTTTTGATATTCCTAACCCAACAATTTACCGAACAGACTAACGTTCCTCCATGACGCAGATGCTAATTTACCGACGTCAAGCATGAGGCTCTATCCGTCGGCGATACGACTATGACAAAGCAAGTCTAATATTCTCGAACATTGGACGCACGACTCACGGTCCCGTTTCTTCGACCCTACAGGACTTCGCTGCCCAGAACACGAAATGTTCTGCCAACGTTGAAGGAGGCCGATTTTGACAGATTCCACCAGCCAAGCCATCGAGCTTTTAAGACGACCACGAATGGCTAGAACGAACGTGAGTACATCTTTCTACACTGCTCAAGGGCCGACTTACCCCTTCTGTTACGTGTGGCCCGACGTCGACTCGCACATGCCGCCGTATGGGCGTTTACGCGGCAATAGTAGGGGGACGAGCGTGGTATGACACAAGGAATATGAGTGCGAGAGGGCGGAGGAACGAGATGGACGTCAAGCGTGCTGCATCGCTGTTCGAACGCACGGAAAGCCGTGCATATGGGAGGTTGAAAGGTCTGCTGGTGCCAGGACTTCACACGCTGAACACGCCCCGATGGTAAAGGAGATGAAATCGCATGTATGGACAAGTGATGAAAACCTAGGGAAAAAGTGAGCATTCGTCTCTGACGACGAAAATAACGCCCAACTCACACTATCACGCAAGACACGACCCGTCTCACGCTGATGCATCTCAAAAGCCCGACACCCCTTCGTCTGCACTCGACGCCTGCCGAAAGACATTCGAGACGAACTACCAACTCCTCCTTCATCGGCTCGCTACTTCGAGCGACGAGTCTTGCCCACCTCAAGCAACTCTCCGACCCCCCGACCCGCAGGTTCTCGTCGGCGTTGAACCAGATTGACGTTGGGTGGGTGCATGATGCACAGAGGTACTAGATAAGTATTGCGCCTCAATCTCTAAGAGGGCATGTGAGTTATGCTTTGTGAACGAGATATAGGTCGACTTGCCTTTTTGCGGCATCCTTTATCTCCAGATCTGACGTCCTGATAGAACAGAGAGCACCGGCATCTACCAACGCTGGGCGTGAGTCGTTCGCATCGCCAACTTGAATACTTCCAACTCACCTTATCCTAGTATTATTCCTCGCGCCGTAGCTGCGCGATCGTTCGGGTCGAGAACCACGTTCCTCCTCTTCAAACCTCACGTACCGACTCTTCTAAACACCCGCGCCGCCTCCTAACTGCATCCAGACACGACATATGGCGCGACTCTTAACCAACAGCTGGGAGGGACAGTGTAGAGGGTGTCGACGGCAAAGGATACGGTACTGAATAGGCTCTGGGGGCAAGTTAAGCTATCCGACTCAAAGTATTGTCGTCGAAAAGGGGGTCAACTTACCTCTTGAAATGCACTGAAGCTCGTGTTCGAACAGGGAGTTCGAACCTGCGATTGTTGTCTAGAAGGTCGACGTACATATGACGAGTTTGATACCCTCCGGTACGAAATGAAAGACTTACAACTCTATTTCTTCGATCTAGAACCCGTCTCTGCCACTCTATATATACGGCGACCAATGATGCCATCCGCTGTCCAACACCAGCCCAGAACGCAAGACCTGCGCTACCAACGAGAGAAGCTAAGAATGTAGAGGGTGGAGGGGGCAGCGGCAGCCGGGATCCGGAGGCAAGGTAAGTCGTTGAACTCGAATAATTTGGACCGGAAACGGGCAAAGGTACCTCCATGGCGCAGATGCTAATTCACGGACGTCAAGCCCGAGTCTCTATCCGTCGTCGATACAACTAAAATAGGGTAAATGTAATGTTCTCGGACGCTCGATGCACGACTCACCACAATTCATCGACCCTACAGGACTTCGCTGCCTCTCTGAGCGGACTCCAATGACCCCTTTTCCAAACAAGAACTCGGCTGCAGACATTGAAGGAGGCAGACTAGGTCCGTTGGAATTGGAAGGGTAGTACGAGCTGTGGAGGTCGAAGACGAGGGCGAACGGCTATAATGAACGTAAGCACGCGTTGCTACTCTTCTCGATGTCTGACATACCTTCTCTGTGATCTGTCGCAACTTGTCGGCGCACACCCGACGCCATAGAGGTGCTTACGGGATGACGATAGGTACGGCACAACGAGCGCGAGAGGGGCAAGCGGCTAGCTGGACGTCGAGTGCGATGTCCTCGTGTGCTGGCTGGCGGTTCGAGCGCACGGAAACCCAAAGGAGGTGTTGAGAAGTGTCCTGGTGCCAGAGCTTCGCACGTTGAACAGGCCCCGGTGGCAAATATTGCGTATACAAGAGATGAAAGCCTTGGAAGAACCTCTCCGACCCGCCAGGCACACAGGATCTCGACGACGTTGCGCCGAGTGGATGCGGGGTGGGTGCATGATGCATAGAGGTAAGTTTTACGCCTCAATCTTTAAGAGGGCATGTGAGTTATGCCTTGTGAACGAGATACAGGTCGACTTGCCTTTTTGCGGCATCCTTTATCTCCAGATCTGACGTCCTGATAGAACAGAGAGCACCGGCAACTACTAACGCTGGGGGTGAGTCGTTCGCATCGCCAACTTGAACACTTCCAACTCACCTTATCCTAGTATTATTCCTCGCGCCGTAGCTGTGTGATCCTTCGAGTCGAGAACCCCGTTCACGCGAGAGGTTGGTACTAGGAGTAGACCAACGTCACCGAGTCAGTCATCGTCCGCGTCCCTAATAATATCTCCAGCGGTTCCTTGTTCCCCACGACGCCGTTAAACTATCCACCAATATCATCGTCATCGACACGCTCACATTCGGCCTAGACGCGAGGTAAGTACATCACGAACAACAACCGCAGCGATGATAGATTTACCACACACCCATAAAGATGTTACGCCTATCATCTGCCCCGTCTACGTCGACAAATAACCCATCCACGCATCGATCTTCTCCCTACCCTTCGAACGTTGTGCCGTGCGTCTGAGAAAGTGGTAAGTAGGTCGCGTCGATCATTAAGGGAGACCGGGCACTCACCCTTTCCTCGAGAGTAGAGACGAGCCTCCGGGGGAGTGCCCGGCTTTGCCTGCAATCGTAAGCGGCTGCCGTTGCTCTGGATCATGGCATTCGACGACCGTCGCGGCTCTTGAAGATTGTGGGCGCTGTGGTGCGGGCAGAACTTGGAACAGAGAAGGAGACGTGGTGCACGAGCAGGGTGCCCGATGAGCGAGAGGTGCTGGATAACGTGGTAAGTACTGATTTTCCATAACGTTGGGGCGCAAACTCACCTGTATTATCCTTTGTAGCAGTCTAACCACACCATCGTGCCTCAACCCGTCGATATTCGGGTTCGCGGTCGATGTTGACGAGGTGAGTGCCCAAGTCAAGGGCAGGCAAGTCCTTTCTTCGTGATTTCTCGTGTTCTTGTACCTTGCGTCGAGTCGCCCATGTACGCGTAGTAATAGGAAACGAAAATCGCGGTCCTTTACAGCAGTGAGGAGAGATGTGAGGTGGATGAGAGAAACGCCAAGAGGCGATTTCGAGCACGATGTAATATTACCTAAGCCTCGCCAGTCGGGCAGCTCGGCGTGTGACACATCGAGTAACGATTGTAAATTGCGTAACTGAATGAAGAAACTCTGCCCGGACCTCGTCGCACAATTCTCCCTTTCAACTTCCTCTTCTCTTCTCGGTGAGGTCGCACCATCTCAATACATCCTGTACGCCCACATATGGCTTGTTGCTACGTCTGCGGCAAAGACAGTGTGGTCAACAACGGCGTGCGCGATCCCACAACTCTGCCGAAAGGTGGACGCGTCTGCTACTCGTGCCTCGACCTCGACAACCTCCAGGCGCAAATCCGCAACACAAAGGCCTTCCTAGCACACCTCGAATCACATGTACACACACTCAAGTCGAAATACAACCGTACCCATGACCACTTTACCCACCAGTTTCCGCCTGAAATCACCGCACGCATCTTCGCTTTCTGTGTTACGGGCCTGCAGAAGGAGCTAGAAATCACTCCGTTCACGTTGGCTGCGGTGTGTAGGAGGTGGCGTCATGTCGTATTGAACTTCCCGGCGCTCTGGGCGAACGTGAACATTGACCTTAGGGTTAGGGTTAGGGTTAGGGTTAGGGTTAGGGTTAGGGTTAGGGTTAGGGTTAGGGTTAGGGTTAGGGTTAGGGTTANA